GGGAAGGGTTCAGGTGCGAGTATAGCTTCCCATGCGGTTGTGCGGTTAGATATGAGCCATAAAAAAAAAAAAAAAAAAAAAAAAAAACGCGCGCGTGTCTGGAAGAAAGAAGCATAAGCTAAAAATGGCGCACCTTAAGTGATAGAAACACGCACCTTAAGTGTTAGATCTTAAGCACAAACTCACGCACATTAAGTACAAAACTCACCCACATTAAGCACAACCCCACGCACATTAAGCACAAAACCCACGCACTTTAAATATTAACTCACATACTTTAAGTTTCAACAACTACTGACATTAAGCACAAACTCACGCACATTAAGTACAAAACCCACGCACATTAAGCACAACTTCACTCACATTAAGCACAAAACTCACGCACTTTAAGCACAACCTCACGCACATTAAGCACAAAACCCACGCACTTTAAGTATTAACTCACAGACCCTAAGTTTCAACAACTACTGACATTAATCACTAACCTCACACACATTAAGCACAAACTCTACGCACATTAAGCACAACTCCACTCACATTAAGAACAAATCTCACGCACCTTAAGCACAAAAGTCCACACTTTAAGTTTTAACAACTACTCACGTTAAGCACAACTCCACGCACATTAAACACAAACCTCACGCACCTTACAGACAAACCTCACGCATCTTATATACAAAACTCACGCACATTAATCACAGATCCGCTCACCTTAATTTTGACCTAAATGCAAAAATTACAAAATTGCCACCGTGTTTTTTTTTAAAAAAAATTTTGACAATCCTGAACGTTGATTTAAGCGAGATGAATGGCCTAGATTAAACCGCACAACCGCACAACCGCACCTGGGCACCCTAACCGCAGCAGAACCTAATTCTATATATATATATATATATATATATATATATATATATATATATATATATATATATATATATATATATATATATATATATATATATATATATATTCTTTATTTATTTAACAGATTGGATATAGTGAATTTTGAGAAGTTACAAACGCCGCATCCAATCTACTAGTGGCGAATTTTCATTAAACGGATCTTAACCCCATCCACTTTAAGTGGATGCAGATGAGATGAGAGTGGATTTGGTAGATCCTTACTCACTCCGAAATCCAAGATATATTTTACTACTATTGTAATTTTATCGTATTTAGTCTCTAATTTTTTATTTTGTCACATTTACTCACACGACTTTTGGTTATTTATTACAATTTTTATTCAATAGACTTTAATTTATGAGATAATTTGACTATTTTAATCTTTTATTCATAACCAAAAAGTACTCGTAAATGACATAATAAAAATATAATATAAAAAAAAATATAATTTCATTAAACATGTATGTGATATTATTGTTTAGTATTTCGTTTATAAGCAATTTGTTCAACAAGAAGAGAAAAAAAAAGACTATAAAATACCCAATTGTGTTAGAAATTAATGTTAATTTGATGAAAATTGTACTAGAAGATCAAATACGGCAATGTTAGTATAGTCATAAGACTAAATGTGGTCAAATTAAAACTATGGACTAAATATGAAATGCCATAATAGCAATGTTGAAAAAATCGCTAGGCGCCCTCTAGGCGCCTGGGGACCGCCTAGGGCGCCTAGGCGCAATTTTTGCAACAGTGCATAATAGTATGTGACTAAAACTGAAATAATTCTTAATTCCAATTATTAGAAAGAAAGTATTTAATGCATCGAAATGAATATTTTTTTACTGATATTGACTCTGTTACAATGTAGTATTTGTTCATATATAATTTCTCAACGTATTGAATACTTTCTAAAAGTATTAATGCACGAAGAACAAAGAGTCAATGCCCCCACGGGATTTGAACCTGTTCGAACCTGTAACCTCTCATTTAGGAGAGTCACAGTTATCATGTTTGACCATAATGAGGCTAGTGGGATGTGTGCAACAGCAAACGACAAAAATATGAATTATTATCATGGTTGCAGTAGGCGCTAGGCGCTAGTCGGGCGGCCGGGCAGCGCCTAGTGCCTAGGCGGTCTAGGCGGCGCCTAGGCGGAATCTAGGCGGCGCTAGGCGGGCACCAAAAAATTAAAAAATAATAATAACAGACTTGTAGTTTGACAATTTTAATGATGTTGTTTTCATCATGCAATCAAATAACACATCCAAATAAATGAAATAATGATAATTTATAAGTCATAACATCATAATAATATTAAAATCAATAATTAATGAAAGAAGACATCGGTCAAAATCGAACAAAATCGGTCAAAATCAGACGAAATCGGACAAAATTGATCAAAATCGGACGAAATCGGTCGACTCGGCCAAGTTGGCCGAGTTTGGCCGAGTTGGCCGCCTAGACGGCTGACCGAGTTTTGGCCGCCTTTAGACCAAAACGGCAAGGCTTGGTGCCGCCTAGCGCCTAGGCGGCTGAGTTTTGCAACACTAATTATTATAATAGAATGTTATTAGAGTAAAAATATTTGATTGAAAAATATTTATAACAATGGGAATAGAGTATATATAAACGGGGTACTAATAATGATGAGTCACGTGTATCTCACAAAATTTGGAAGATGAGACACTTGTGTTATAATATAAGGGTAATGAATTTGCACTAAAACTTTTCATATAATCTCTTTTTATATTTGATTAGCTCATAGAGAAATTTAAAAAACTATAATAACAAATCAACTTAAAGTAATGTGCAAGCGTGTGCGTCACCGATTCAATTAGCAAATAAGCAATGTAAAGTGCTGAAAAGTATAGTGTAAAAATATAAAGAGAAAATTGTTATAGTGGTTCGGACAAAGTTTACTTACTCTTTTTCTTAACGTCCAAGTTAAGGAGGTTTCACTAGTATTTTTATGCACAAAATACAAGTGAGACTACGTAGTGTATCCACAAAGCACTGCTAATCAAGGACGATGCTTTCTCGATTCGGATGTCCTCTCCTACCAATCTTCAACACATGGGTTTCACTCCCAAGGTCAGCCACAAAGTCGCCTTGAGTGAAGAACCTTCAACACCAAACACAAAGTAAGGGTTGTTGTTTGTTTAGGAATGGACATGAAACTTGATGTTCATTGGAAGCTCTAAGTAGCTTCTGGATATTTCTATGAAGCTCCTTCTCTGTCTTCGCACTTTTCTCGCCTCAAATAATTTATGTCAAGCAAGCTCGTCAACGTATGTTGTTGTCGTTGCTTTTCAGAGCCTGGAGTCCTCTTTTTATAGATAGAGGATATGACAAACTTGAAATTCTTCGAATATGACAGTTGTGTCCCGTTGTGACAGGTATCCAATTCTGCCACAACACTCCAACGATTATTAAGTCACTACCATATGACTATTAAGTCATTACTATTATGTTCATTAAATTATAATGCATGTTATAAGTCACTATTGTAAGTTCATAAAGTCATTACTACATGTTCACTAAGTCACTGATATATTTCATTAAGTCATTTTATATGTTAATTTTGTTTATACAAAAATAAAAATAATACATTTAGATCATAATTGACCAATTAATGTCATTTTAAAGAATATGCATTGCTATTATTAAAATGAAAACGCACTTATATTTAACCTATTTAAATTTTTAATGGAGTTACAATATTATTTTAATAAATTTAATTCTGTGATATAATTTGTCAGACAATATAGGTAATAATGTGATGTCATCTTTGTGCGCGCATCTAATAGCTTTGTTCTTCTTTTTTTTTTTATTTAAACGCAACTATAAGTAAAAGATGTCACGTTTATATCAATAGATTATATAAAGTTATAGACGGAACTTATTTTTCGTGGCTATGGATCCCCAAAAGAGTTTTCCAAAGTCCAAACGACTTCCAATGTTAGATAAGCAGTTGGTAGGTCCCAACTCCCAACTCCCAATTCCCAAACACCACTATTTGTATGTGATTTCACTTTCTTCCGTTATTAGGTAGGGTCAATGTGCTTTTTTCCACTTTCCTCTTCATCATTACTCATTAGCATTATGTTCATAGATTCCTAGGCTATGATTTTCTTGGGAAAAAAAAAACACATTCTTGTATGTTCCGCACGGATTTAGCTCACTGGTCGATAAACAGTATTTAGGAGAAGAGACCAAAGTTTGAACATCGACATTTTTTTTTTGGTGATGAAAGAGGAGTTGGAGAACTCCAAAAAGAAAAACTAAGTAACTCTGGTAGTAGCCACCATGTTCGCATCCCGATCAAGAAGAGAGCTTATCCCAGCCGGTGGATCCTCTAAAACCGTGGTCCCCCAGTCAGAAAATTGTTCCAAGTTGGCCAAGAAATCAGCGCATTGGTTCCCTTCACGTAAGACATGCACCAACTCAAAGTCTTAGAAGACCGTCATCAACTGTTTGCAATCTGTAATCAAGGTGTCAGCTTCCGGCCTTGATCCAAAGTTATTATTATTGAGAGTTTGAACTAAGGGCCTCCGAGTCGGACTCAGCAACTAGATTCATGAAACCTCTCATTTTTGCTAGAATGAGGCCTTCCCGGAGACCCCAAAGCTCAGCAAAAAAGCTATTTGTGGAGCCAATTTTAGTGGTAAAGCCCACAATCCAATTACCATGAGGGCTTCGGATGAGACCACCAGCGCTTCCCATGTCTGTTGAGGCTTTTCTAGCACCATCGGTATTCAATTTAAACCAGTCATGGCGCGGTGGTTGAACATCGACATTAACAGTGTTGGAATTATGCTCAAAATGGATAGATCCCTTATGCACATCGACATTTGACCTTGTCTATTGAGTCAATTTAAGTCACCGTAATTACATCATCTCAAATATTCTATCGTGTTCGGATGTCGAGCCTTTAAGATTGAGAATTCAACTTTTTGGAAGAAAAATTTACGTCTTTAGTAGTAATGGTACAACTTACAACACACCCTATGATCAATCCTTAAAAAAAAATTGATAAATATATTTTTAAAAACTAAACTCACACTATATGTTCAAATTTTATTATAAGAAAGAAAATGAAACAAAAACAAAAACTAGAATTATTTTTTTTTTAAATTTGTCAGCTTGCTACTGACTCTAGACTAATCCTAAGTCACAGAATTCCGACCCAAAAGTAATTGGAGAATGTAAATCGCAATCGTCCAAACAGTTTTTCAGTCAGTTTCTGTAATTCACTCGTGCACAAAAGATGAAAAGATCCATCTCCGCCCTTTTATTTTTGGGTCCGGAACATACAAACTGCAGCTCTAAGTTAACATTCTCTTAAGAAAGATGTTTTTTCTCAATAGCATTATATTACAAAGGTGTCATCGACGACAACATCGTTTGTTGTCCGTACGATGAGGAAGGAAACACGAGAACAGAGTCTGCATTGCATTCCTGACAACTTGGCCCCTCTTCGGAATCAAACGCGGCCGAGGTGGGGAGCAGGTGGTGGCGGCGCCGCCAATCCTAGGCTGCCGGAAGCCTCCAATTCCGCTGTGCTCGGTAGTGGCAACCGTCATTTTTGCAGTAATTTATAATTGGGAGTAGAAATGGGGAAATGAAAGTATAATTGAATTGTTGAGATATGATTGAAAGGCTTGGGGTTGGGGTATTAAAAGGCGCGCCAAACCGAGTAAAGAAGAAGCGTCTGCGTTCGATCATTTTTCTTCTTTCCGTTTTTGTTTTTGTTTTTGTTTTTTTCTTCTCAATAACCAATAAACTTGAATGGTTTCAGATTTTGAACAAGTCCATCAAGAAGGGGTCATGATTACCTACCTGCGTCTCCATAGCAGTGAATGGTGGACTTGCTTCTACATTTTTTCAACTCATTAACGTTGAGGAAAATTTTTAGAATGAATCGTACCGTGTATACTGCTAACAATTTTGAATGAAAATTAGTATTAATTGTAATAATATTGCGTATTCAATTACAAGGACCTAGATTGCTCATTTGTCAAACAAATAAATGGTCATTAAAAAATAATAGACTTGTTTAGTAAATGGCGGATTCGCTAAAATTTTGACAGAAACGCCAAAATGGCATTTTGATCAAAATCAAAACACCAAATTATATGTTCAGTAAAATGGTGGTTTGGAGCATGCTGCTCCAAATCGCCATTTTTGCAAACGCTGCTAAGAGCAGCATTTGCCCTTTTGGCATTTTGAGGAAAGCATGTCCTTTTCTCAAAACGCCCTCCATATTTAAAAATAAAACAAAAAAAAAAAGTCATTAAGGCTCTATTAATCCGCTATCCGCTAACCGCGGATTGCCAAACAAGGCCAATCAAGAGAAAATGACACTTTTTCCCCTTAATTATATGTTTATAGTACATTTTTCTCCTGAATTATTTATGTAAGCACATTAGTCCCCTCAATTATTCTAAAAGTGACGATTTTTCTCCTGATATATTAAATTGACATTTCTACCATTAAAGTAAACATTTTATTTATTTTTTTTCTCCAACGAATTCTTGTTTATACGTAGGGATGATCAACCGAACCGAACACTATAGCAATCGAATTGAAAATTTCCGGTTATGATTCAGATCCAGAACCTAATATTTGGATTTCAGTTTATTAAAATTATGAACCGAGAAAACTAGATCTTGAACCGTGAACTGGCGGTTCCGGATCTGGTTCGTGATTTTTGAACTGTCTTTATTTTAAAATTTTATTTTTTATTTTTAAAATAGTCTACATTCAACAATAAATGTATTTTATTTGTTTCAGTTTGGAACATGAACCGGCTGTTCTGGTGTGCGATTTTAATAAACTCTAAATATCATGTTTCGATTGTAAATTGTAATTGGAATATTTCGATTTGTTTGTTATAGTGCATGTTCAGTTTGGACCAAATTATAGTCATAATTTGTTGGAGAAGAAAAATAAATTAATTGAACCAAATTATAGTCATAATTTGTTAGAGAAGAAAAATAAATGAAATATTTATTTTAAGGATAAATATGTCCATTTAATATTTCAAGGGGAAAATATCCACTTAAATAATTTAAGGAAAAAAAGTACTATAAGTATATAATTCAGGGGAGAAAGTGCAATTTTTCTTATAATAAGCTAAATTAAGTACTATTCAACGTGTCCTAATGATTTCTTAATTTTTATTGATAATTGTTACAAAAAGAAATCAAAATTTAAAAATGTTTCCTTTGAAATTATATTGATACTGTTAGAGCTATGAGACATAAATTCATTAACATAAGAATCTTGCTATACTATCAGAGAACTAGAACACAAAGAAAACACTTTAAATTTTTATCGAAAGTGTTGTAAAATTTCTTTAAAATGATTTACGAGAGCAAAGGAGAGGAAAAACAAAGTATTTTATGTTCTCAAACCTACATCACAACGAGGCTCATTTGCACCCCTACATGCTAAAGAGAGCATTTATGTTATACGATTCAAGTTTTTTTTTTTTTTTTTTTCTCTAAAAGAGAATGTATATATAATAGTACAAACCCACTTCTCATTTCAATGTAGGACAAATGTTCTTTCCAAGCCTTTCCGACTCTATTTTTACAACTCAAATAAGTCTACTTTGAGAATTAAGAATCAACTTATCAGTCACCAATTATCCGTTTTAAGCGAACAATATATAAATTTCTTCATTTCACTCAACAAAAATAGTTTCCTGTTGTTTTGAAGCATCAAAATCCTTTGGATTTTCTTTCTCCTCTCTCGAAATATTATTTTCTAGAAAGATAATCTGCCAACACTTCCAAAAATTATACGAAGTGCTCGCTTCTTGTTCTTGTTCGCCGACCTTTTAGTTTGAGTATATGTGTGTGTGTGTGTGTACATATATATATATATATATATATATATATATATATATATATATAAAAGATCATATGAGAACACGTGCTTATGTGAGAACGTGAGAACACATCATGTGCATCCATCTAATATTTTTTAATGGTCTAGATTAGATTAAGTGTGTGTGAACGCGCATTAAATATGTGCAAACGTGATTTAGTGTGTTTGCACACATTTAATGCGCGTCAGCACACATTTAATCTAATTTAGACCATTAAAAAATATTAGATGGATGCACATGATGTGTTTTCACGTTCTCACCTAAACACATGTTCTCACTAGAACCCTACTTATATATATATATATATATATATATATATATATATATATATATATATATATATATATATATATATATATATATATATATATATATATATATATATATATATATATATATGTTGGGTAATATGGTTGAAAATTCCCAAAAATAATAATCCTACGAAAAGATTAATATTATATGGGAAAACAGAAAGAATTGGGAAGGAAAAGGTTGAGTGTTTGGGTAAAGGTTTAGCACGAGTTCGAACACAAAGTTCTTTTCCTTAAAACCTTATTTGCTACCTCCCACAAGTGCTAGGAGCGTTGTAGCCTAGGTTTCCCAGGATAAAACGTGCTACGATTCCTTGTTTAAGCAACTAAACAAGGAACCCGACAAACAAAGCAAGACTTAGAACACTGGTTGGCTAAAAGAAGAGAGTAGAAGCAGAGTTTTGAGATGAAAAGCTATTGGAATTCCTTTGTTTCTCACTATGTGTAAAATGCTACTGCTCTACCTCTCTTTATATAGGGATGTTGGAAGGGATAGCATTCAACATGGCCTTTAATTGGTATTAAACCAATTTGTATAACACCTGTAACGGTCACCACTAAGTAGGATTAAACTCAGAATTTAAAATTGGAATTAAAACAGTATTAATTCCGTTCGGTTTTGGCCGAACCAAGTGACTATATCAGATGGAAAATGATACCGAAGTTAGGCATAACTTAGCCCGCAAGGCCAGCCCATTTCCGGACGACATTCGTGCCCGCAGGTGCCTGCACACGCGAACTAGGGCTTGATTTCAAGCCTTTTTTATGTCCTCTAGTTGGATTTTGATTTGCACCCCCCCCCCCCCTCCCCGCGCGAGAGAGCCTCTATGCTATACAATTCTACAAGCTTAAAAAGAGCTCATGTATATAAGGGGGGCAAATCTTGTTTCCAAACCAATGTGGGACAAAGTCCTACATTTTCCCTTCATTTCCCAACTTAAATGGGTCAACTTTAAGAATCAATATCTCATTCACCCATTATCCGTTTTGAGCGTACAATATATCAATCTCTTCGTCTTACTACGAAGAATCCGAATCCACTTTGACCCGACTCAAATCGGAAGTGGACCCCACTGATAATTGTACCACAAAATAGCCACTTAATATGCCATTTTATGCCATTTTAAGCTAATTTTTCCAACAATCCCCCACATGAATGAAAATTGATTTTCGGGGTAGTTTTAAAACGGAAACAACTGTGTTCAACGGTCGATCCCTGCATAGGATAGGTAGGGTCACACCCTTTGAACCTTCCCTCGTGAAGATACATTTACTCTACTGACTGTACGGTAGAACGCGATGTCTTTGAACCGACTGCCGTTTGTGTAGACGATGACATATCTCACACAGGAACCTCCCAACCATGCTTTGTTCTCATGATTGTGCCCATTTTGGTTGTGGGTCACCATTCCTAGTTCTGCAAGAGTTTGTGAAGAATTGTGCCCGTCAATTCTCCTTTGAAGCGACCCTCACTTCTCTCTCACATAGGTGATTCTTTCTCGAGTATCCCGCATACTCACATATGTCAACCGACATTCGAATCACTAAAGCATTTAACATGCTAACCTTGTGCAGGAGCCACTGTTTCTAACGAGGAGTGGTAGGGAATCCGAGACCCCCACAGTGACACGCTCCGTTCCATAATTTTGTTGTCCCATTGAACCTAGGTGCCAGCTAGGTTGGGTGTCGACTATAGAACTTTATACCAAGGGCTTTAGACCCATTCCTCGTCTCAACTTCTCCACAGCTACTCTACATAACCCTTTGATTAGCGGATCCGCTATATTGTCTTCTGACATTACGTAGTCAATCGAGACAACACCAGTTGTGAGAAGTTGTCTAATGGTATTATGTCTACGACACACATGTCTAGACTTACCATTATACATATGATTCTGTACTCGTCCAATTGCAGCTTGACTATCGCAATGCACACACATTGGAGGTACAGGTCTTTCCCAATTAGGAATATCCTCTAAAAAATAGTGTAGCCATTCAGCCTCTTCACAACATTTGTCCAAGGCTATCAGCTCAGATTCCATCGTGGATCTAGCTATCACGGTCTGTTTAGAAGATTTCCATGCAACGGCTGCACCGGCTAGTGTAAACACGTAGCCACTCGTGGACTTGGAGTCCTTAATATCGGATATCCAGCTAGCGTCGCTATACCCTTCAAGTACAGCAGGATATCTCCCATAGTGCAGTCCAAGGTCTCGAGTATACCTTAAGTATCTCAGAACCTTCACTATTGCCGTCCAGTGCATGGCACCGGGGTTACTCGTATATCTACTGAGTTTACTAACCGCAAAGGCAATATCCGGCCTAGTACAGCTCATTAGATACATCAAACTACCAATAACCCGAGCATATTCTACTTGAGAAATACACTCTCCGTGGTTCTTGGTTAGATGAACGCTTCGATCTAATGGCGTCCTAGTCCCTTGATGATTATCCTTGTTAAATTTTTTAAGGATTTTATCAATATAATGTGATTGGCTTAACACCAGACCATCAGGTCTTCTAATGATTCTAATCCCGAGGATTAAATCAGCCAAACCCATATCCTTCATGTCAAATCTTGCATTTAACATCTTTTTGGTAGACTTGATCATCCGATCGTTACTACCAACGATGAGCATGTCATCTACGTATAAACAAAGAATGACATAGCCGTCTATCGTTTCCTTAACGTAGACACATTTGTCACTTTCGTTTATTTTAAATCCATTGGTCAACATCGCATAGTCAAACTTCTCGTGCCATTGCTTAGGCGCTTGTTTTAAACCATATAGCGATTTAACCAACTTACACACTTTCCTTTCTTGGCCCTGAACCACGAACCCTTCGGGTTGTTCCATATAGATTTCCTCATCTAGTTCGCCATTTAGGAAAGCGGTTTTAACGTCCATTTGATGAACTTCCAAATTCCGCAGCGCGGCTATAGCAAGTATCATTCTAATGGAATTTATTCTCGTCACGGGAGAATACGTGTCGAAGTAATCAAGGCCCTCGCGTTGCCTGTAACCCTTGATTACAAGCCTAGCCTTATACTTCTCGATGGAACCATCGGGTTTCATCTTCCTTTTAAAGACCCACTTGGATCCTAAGGGTTTACTACCCGGAGGAAGATCAACAAGTTCCCAAGTGTGATTCTGTAAAATAGAATCCACTTCACTTTTAATAGCCTCTTTCCACATTGGTCCTTCTATAGAAGTCACGGCTTCTCCGTACGTTCGAGGCTCGTTTTCTATCAAACAAGATAGAAAATCGGGTTCATTTTCTAATAAACAAGTTAAGAGTACTCGAATCGTACTCCAACAAGTAAGTTAGAAAATCAGGACCAAATGATTTTCCAACTCTCGCCCGCTTACTGCGTCTTGGCTCGAGCTCGGGTTCTCTCTCGGATTCCCCACTATCATTATCCATAGCTTCGTCAAATGTTCGTTTTGACGAACTCGGTCCCTCATTGGACCTACAAGGAAATACATTTTCAAAGAAAGATGCATTCCTTGATTCTATTATCGTGTTCTCGTGTACGTCCGGATTATGGGACTCGTGTACTAAGAACCGATAAGCACTACTATTATGTGCATAGCCAATAAAGATACAGTCCACTGTCTTAGGACCTATCTTTACTTTCTTAGGTGTTGGCACCAAAACTTTGGCAAGACACCCCCACACTTTCAGGTACTGGTAGGAAGGTTTCCTACCGTTCCACAGCTCATAAGGAGTCTTATCGAGCTTCTTGTGGGGTACCTTATTCAAAAGGTAATTACTTGTCAAAATAGCTTCACCCCACGCGTCTTGAGGTAGGCCCGAACTTATAAGCATCGCATTCATCATATCTTTCAATGTACGATTTTTTCGTTCGGCAACACCGTTCGATTGAGGTGAGTAAGGTGCAGTACGCTCGTGTATTATACCTACACTCGCACAGAAGTCACCAATAGGTGCTTCGTACTCACCACCTCGATCGCTTCTAACTTTCTTAATCTTACGATTAAGTTGGTTTTCAACTTCATTCTTATAAAGAATGAATTTTTCCAAGGCTTCGTCTTTGCTTTTAAGCAAATACACATAGCAATAACGTGTGCTATCGTCGATAAACGTGATAAAATATTTATTACCACCTCTCGTTTGTATCGATCTAAAATCGCACAAATCACTATGGATTAATTCTAGTGGTTCAGTTTCCCTTTCAACCGATTTGAAAGGTACTTTTGTTAATTTTGCCTCAACACAAATTTCACAGTTGTTATTTGTGTTAATTTGAAAATTAGGAATATGGTCCATGTTAATTAATCTACGTATAGAATTATAATTAACGTGACCTAGTCTACCATGCCACAAATTGGAAGACTCAAGCAAGTAAACGGAATTAACTTTGCTCTTATTCATGATAATAGGCATTACATTGAGCTTAAAAAAGCCCATCAGTTACATAACCTTTGCCTACAAACATTCCTAACTTAGACAAAACAACCTTGTCTGACTCGAACACCATGCGAAAGCCATGCTTGTTCAACAGTGAGCCAGACACCAGATTCTTCCTCAGCTCTGGAACATACAGCACGTTGTTTAACGTCAGTTCCTTCCCGGAAGTCATCTTCAGAACCACCTTGCCCACGCCTTCCACAGCAGACTGAGCAGAGTTTCCCATCCAAACCTTCTCGCCCTCAACGGTCTCAAAGGTGTTGAACATTTCTCGGTTGCAACACAAGTGCCTTGTTGCACCAGTGTCGATGAACCACTCTCGTGGGTTAGAGTCCACGAGGTTCACCTCGGTCACCATAGCCGAAAGACTAATCTCGACCTCCTTCTGATTGCTTTCCTCAACCATGTTGGCTTCAGAACTCTTGTTCTTCTTCTTTGGAACTTTGCACTCAGAGGACTTGTGGCCAGTCTTGCCACAATTGAAGCATTTTCCATGAAATTTCTTCTTGGTAATGCCTCCTTTCGGACCTAGCTTTTGCTTGTCCTTCTTGTTCTTCTTGGAGTTTTTAGCATGCTCCACAACATTGGCTTTAGCACCAATAGTGACAGAATTTCTTCCATCATTCGTCCTGTTCCCCTCCTCAATTCGGAGTCGCTGGATCAGGTCCTCCAGGTTCATTTCCTTTCGCTTATGCTTAAGGTAATTCTTGAAGTCCTTCCACCCTGAAGGCAGCAAGTGGATAACAGATCCCACTAGGAAGGCTTCACTCAACGTCATGCCTTCGTCACGGATTTTATCAAAGATTAGTTGTAAATCTTCAACCTGACTTAGCACGGTTTTGGAATCAACCATTTTGAAGTCAAGGAATCGGCCAACCACAAATTTCTTTGCGCCGGCATCCTCACTTCGGTATTTATGATCTAAAGCTTCCCACAGCGCTTTCGCTGTGCCAATCTTGCGATATACATCGTATAACGCATCACACAATCCATTTAGGATGTAGTTTCGGCATAGGAAGTCCGAATCCTTCCAATAGCCAACTGCCATCACGGATTGGGCATCCTGTCCCCTTAGTTCGAGAACCTTCTCGGTCAAAAATCTCGCCAAGCCGAGAGTTGCTAGGTAAAACAACATCTTTTGTTGCCACCTTTTGAAATTCGATCCAATACCGGTGAATTTCTCCGATCTTTCGGCCGAACCACTCGGTACCGTAGGTACCCGAGTCATGGGAATATATCCCTCGGTGCTCCCACCATCTTGTGAACCAACGTTCACTGGTGTAGCTTGGGAATTAGCAACATTATTGCCATTCCCACCACTGTTGTTCTCAGCAACATTCTCCTCCCCGAGAGCTGGCAAAACTGGATTCTCCATTTCTTCTAGGAAATTAGAGATTAACAACCAACGGGAAACGGATATAAGGTTTTAAAATTGTTGGGTAATATGGTTAAAAATTCCCAAAAATAATAATCCTACGAAAAGATTAATATTATATGGGAAAACAGAAAGAATTGGGAAGGAAAAGGTTGAGTGTTTGGGTAAAGGTTTAGCACGAGTTCGAACACAAAGTTCTTTTCCTTAAAACCTTATTTGCTACCTCCCACAAGTGCTAGGAGCGTTGTAGCCTAGGTTTCCCAGGATAAAACGTGCTACGATTCCTTGTTTAAGCACCTAAACAAGGAACCCGACAAACAAAGCAAGACTTAGAACACTGGTTGGCTAAAAGAAGATAGTAGAAGCAGAGTTTTGAGATGAAAAGCTACTGGAATTCCTTTGTTTCTCACTATGTGTAAAATGCTATTGCTCTACCTCTCTTTATATCAGCCCATTTCCGGACGACATTCGTGCCCGCAGGTGCCGGCGCACGCGAGCTCGGGCTTGATTTCAAGCCTTTTTTATGTCCTCTAGTTGGATTTTGATTTGCACCCCCCCCCCCCCCCCCCCGCGCGCGCGCGAGAGAGCCTCTATGCTATACAATTCTACAAGCTTAAAAAGAGCTCATGTATATAAGGGGGGCAAATCTTGTTTCCAAACCAATGTGAGACAAAGTCCTACATTTTCCATTCATTTCCCAACTTAAATGGGTCTATTTTGAGAATCAATATCTCATTCACCCATTATCCGTTTTGAGCGTACAATATATCAATCTCTTCGTCTTACTACGAAGAATCCGAATCCACTTTGACCCGACTCAAATCGGAAGTGGACCCCACTGATAATTGTACCACAAAATAGCCACTTAATAAGCCATTTTATGCCATTTTAAGCTAATTTTTCCAACAATATATATATATATATATATATATATATATATATATATATATATATATATATATATATATATATATATATATGGAAGGGATCATGTGCATTTGTTGCTTCCCGTGCGGTTGTGCGGTGGATTAATGTGCGTGAGGTTTATACTTAATGTGCGTGAGTGTTGTGCTTAATATGCCTGAGATTTGTACTTAATGTGCGTCATGTTAATATGCGTGAGTTTTGTACTTGATGTGCCTGAGTATAGTGCTTAATATGCGTGAGATTTATGCTTAATGTGCGTTAGTAGTTCCCAAAAATAATACTCCCAAACGCTCCATTCAAAAGACGGTGTCCAGATTGGGTTTCCATGGTGGTATTCACTATTCAGGGCACTTACAAAACCATTATATTGTGTTTGGGGCAGTTATCATGGTGGTGGACTGGTGGTTGAATTGAGACGAAAAGTAAAGTGGGGTTGGAGAGTAGAAAACAATGATTTCGGCCGGGAAATTGGGTGGTGGTGGACGGGAACCTTTCAACTGCACGAAAATATGGATCATCATCATCAGGGAGGGGCCAATGGCTACTGGGGATGGGGAAGAATCTGGTATCCATATTTTCTGCTGCATTTTACACATTCACGCATATTAAGTACAAATCTCAGGCATATTAGACACAATACTCACACACATTAAGTACAAATCTCACGCACATTAATAACCGCACAACCGCACGGAAACCTTTATATATATATATATATATATATATATATATATATATATATATATATATATATATATATATATATATATATATATATATATATATATATATATATATATATAATTTTGATAAATCGATTTATTCACAACCTAGAAACCCTACCAAACACTTTTTTTTTTTTTTAACTTAATGGGTATATTATTAAGAATTAATTTCTTATACATACACTCATTATACATTTATACATTTTGAATATATAAATATATGAAATTCATAATTAAGAGAATCCAAATCTATTTTGACACAATCCAAATTAATAATAGAAATGCTCAAAACAATACCTCAAAATGACCTCTCACATGTCATTCTCATACTAAGTTTTCAACATTTTTATCCTTATTATTATTAAATATAACATATCCAATATTATAGAAAGATCCTTAGATATTTATAGATTTAACCCCATGAGAAGAAAAAAAAAAATCTAGAAAAACATAACATTCAAAATAGGTTTGAGGAAAGCCAAGCCAAATAAATTAGTAAGATGAGTCGCTATGGCAATTTAAGTTAGATTTACTTCTTTGTGATACTTTGTCAGCTAAAGTCATAAACAAAAACAAAAATTAAAATTACTTTTTTTTTAAAAAAAAATCGGTCAACTTGCTATGTAAGTATGACTCTTTTTCTTAGCTGACTCTAGACTAATCCTAAGTCACAGAATTTCGACCCAAGAGTAATTGGAGGATGTAAATTGCAATCGTCCAAATAATTTTTCAGTTAGTTTTTGTAATTGACTCTGTGCACAAGAGACTCCGCCTTTTTATTTTTGGATCCGGAACATACAAACTGCTGCACTAAGTTAACATTCTCTTAAGAAAAATGTGTTTTCAATAGCATTATATTACTAAGGTGTCATCGACAACAACACCGTTTGTTGTCCGTACGATGAGGAAGGAAACACGAGAACAGAGTCTGCATTGCTTTCCTGACAACTTGGCCCCTCTTCGGAATCAATCGCCGCGGCCGAGGCGGGAGGCAGGTGGTGGCGGCGCCGCCAATCCTAGGCTGCCGGAAGCCTCCAATTCCGCCGCGCTCGGTAGTGGCAACCGTCATTTTTGCAGTAATTTATAATCGGGAGTAGAAATGGGGAAATGAAAGTATAACTGAATTGTTGAGATATGATTGAAAGGCTTGGGGTTGGGGTATAAAAAGGCGCGCCAAACCGAGTAAAGAAGAAGCGTCTGCGTTTGATCACTTTTCTTCTACTGTTTTTGTTTTTTTTTCTTTTTCTTTTCTCCCCAATAATTAAACTTGAATGGTTTCAGATTTTGAACAAGTCCATCAAGAAGGGGTCATGATCACCTACATGCGTCTCCATGGCAGTGAATGGTGGACTTGCTTCTACATCTTTTCAAATTTTCAACTCATTTATTAGGGGTGGGCGTTTCGAGTTTCGGTTCGATTTTTTTCGGTTTTAAAAAAATTAAACCATTTGTTTAACAATAGAGTTCGATTTGGTTTGAAAAAGTTCGGTTTCGATTCAGTATTTTGTTCGATTTTGGTGGAAGTCCACTATTTGAATGTTTCATTTTTTGTCTGACCGGTTGTTCAGTTGGCTCACTTGGAGTGCCACTTGAAGTGTTTTGTTGATGACAAGATGAAGAATCATCCATCTACATAGTTACTATTTAAAAAATAAGAATTATTAAAACACCATATGTTGGGACTTACAACTTAGAGTTGAGGTCTGAGGACTTGAGGAGTTGAAATTATTAATTATTATAATATTTATATATAATACTAGCATTTTGTATGTGCGATGCGTGAAAATTTATGCCAATATTAAAAAATTGATAAATGCAAATAATTACAAGTTATAGTTCAAATTATATTACCTAAGTAATTTGAGTCTGGTAATGTTATATTACCTTGTTTGGTTCAAGTTATGAGATTACATAGTAATGTTATATTACATGAAAGCTGATGTGGTGATAATGTTTCAAGGTAATGTGATTACCCCCGTTTTCTTAGGTAATCTTAGATTACCTTGAATTATTCCAATTTTGCCCTTGTTAATAATAATAATAATAATGAGTAATATATATATATATATATATATATATATATATATATATATATATATATATATATATATAGTATTGAGGACATTATTATAAATTAATCCCTATAACATAAAATATAACCTTTAACCAAACAAGGTAATATTATATTACACAATCCAAACCAAACACATGAGGTAATCTTACATTCTCAAAATCTCACATTAGTTTCATGGAGGTAATCCTATTACCTGGGTAATCCAAGATTTCGTGAACCAAACGCCCCCTTAAAGTAGTAAACCATCGTATTTGAAAACTATAGAGATGAACAAAATTTATATTTTGTTTATTAATAATGTAAATAATTTTGATATAATTTATACTTTGTTTTTACAATAAATAAAAATATCTATAATACTAATCTAGTACCCGGTCACATATATTGTCCATTATAATTGAAGTGTACAACATTTAATGAAAAATGTATAGTTTTATTAGCATACACATGTATACTTTTATTAGCATACAAATGTAAGTATTAATATAAATGTGCATATTGCTTAATGGATAAATTTCTTATTTCTAAGTTCTAACTTGATGATGGTCAAATGTTCAAACCTCACATTGGACATTTAGTACATTATATATATATCTCTTATACAAAAAAAAAAAAAAAAAAAAAAAAAAAAAAAAAAAAAAAAGAGAAAAAATCAATACCGATAGATTTCCTTAAACCGAGTACCGATTCGGGTAATCCGCCCTATCATTAACGAATGAAAATTAGTATTGTTTCGCCAAAGTTTTTTTTTTTTTTGGTAGAGATTTCGCCAAAGAATAGTGTGTTCAATTACAAGGTCATAGAATGCTCATTTGGCAAACAAATAAATGGTCATTAAAATTTAATAAGTTAAATTAAGTACTATTCAACGTGTCCTAATGATTTCTTAATTTTTACTGATAATTGTTACAAAAACAAATCAAACTTAAAGAAAAAATGTTTCTTTGAAATTATATTGATAGTGTTAGACCTATTAGACATGAATTCATCATTGACACAAGAATTTTGCTATACGACACTTAGAGAACTAGAACACAAGGAGAGCATGGCAATTCGAAATTTTATCGAATGTGTTAGGTAGAATTCCTTGAAAAATGTTTTACTAGAGCAAAGAAGAGGAAAAACAAAGTTTTTAATGTTCTCAAATCAACATCAAAACATAGGCTCATTTGCACCCCCATATATGTTGAATAGAGCCTTTATGTTATACAATTCAAGTTTTTGTTTTTAAAAAAGAGAATTGTATATATACTCGTACAAACACACTTCCCATTTCAATGTAGAACAAAGGCTCTTTCCAAGTCTTCCCAACTCCGTTTTTCTAACCCAAAATAGTGTACTTTAAGAATCAATTTCTCATTCACCAATTATCCATTTTAAGCGTATAATATATCAATTTCTTCATTTCACTCAAGGCAGATGGTTTCCAGATGTTTTGATGCATCAAAATCCTTTGATTTTTGTCTCCTCTCTCTCGAAATTTTATTTTCTTGAAAGATACTCTGCCAACACTTCCAAAAATTATACGAAGTGCTCGCTTGTTGTTATTGTTCGTCGAGCTTTTAGTTTGGGTACTCAAATTTTTAGCAATAATTCGTTTTATCCTGAGAGACTAACGCTACAACGCTCATAGCACCCTCAGAAGGTAGCGAATCAATTTTAAAAAACGTGTGAGTACACACGACTCAAATTTCTCATTCTTCTTGTTCTTGTGTTGGGTTTATATTCTAAATTATAAAACACATATTCTCGTTATTTATTTATTTATTTTATATAAATAAATTTTTAATTTCGTACCAAGCTCTAGTTGGAATTAATTTTTTAAAAATTAAATTCTATTTTCCGTTTATACACACACACACACACTAGTTACCACACGTACATTGTGCGAATAATCCAATGTCCAATGTGTATTTTAAATTAGTGTTTCAAAATTTATCAAAGTATCATTTGGTATCCTAGCATATATCAATACAAGATTAACAAATTTTTCATAAAAGTAAATATTTCAAGAATGCATAACTATGACTTGTGGTATAATTTTCATAAAATTAACTAGTGCAATAACAATTTTAGAGGGAAACGCCTTCACTGGATAGTACCCAATTCAAGCATAATTTTTGTAACACAAAATCATATTAATTGGCATGATCGGTGCTTCCTCTTGTTGACATTTTCGCCAGAAATGAATTCTTGATTTAATCTAGTCCCCTAGTATGCTTCACTGCAATTTTATTGTCTTGACGCAGTGCACCTTCAAAAACAAAATATAATCCTACTTCCCCAAAAAGACAATGATAATATGCATAGTTTTTCATCTGTGTTGAATATATATTGCAAATTAGGTATATCGTTTCGTTAATGCTCAATGTGTGATTCTAATTAATTGACCGAAGTTCATGTTAAATTTTATATTATATTTTTTTTAATGCACTCTAACATATATTCATAGTATATGTTTAACAATTATATCAATTTTGATTGGGATCGAACTTAAGACCTTCCTTATGAAAATCAATGAATATAATAATAAATAGTTAACGGAATATTCAGTTACTAAATTTTACACTAATGTAATGCAAGGGTATTTATGAAAAAATAATATTAACCATTCATTTCAACAAACAATTACACCAACATTATTTAGTTCCCGCTAAGACCTAACTTTATTGGCTCTTATTAGATTTGTAGATGTAGATATTACCAAACATTACCAAACACTATTTTCTTAACTAATGGATATATTATTAAGAATAAATTTCTTATACACTCATTATATATTTTGAGTATATAAATATATGAAATATAATTCACACTTAGGAAAATCAAAATCTATTTTGACACAATCCAAATTAATAATAACCAATGCTAAAAACAATACCTCAAAATGCCTCTCACATGCCATTTTCATACTAATTTTTCAACATCTTTATCCTTATCATTATTAATCATCATAAATATAACATATCCAATATTATAGAAAGATCCTTATATATTTATAGATTCAACCCCATGAGAAGAAAAAAAAAATAGAAAAACATAAAATCCAAAATAGGTTTGAGAAAAGCGAAGCCAAATAAGTTAGTAAGATGAGTTAATTAGCTATGAGTAATCTATGCTGATTTACTTATTTATCGCCTAAAGTCACAATGTGAAATTTATTAAGTAGACATCCTCTAATAGTGATTGATGATTTTCCTTTTCACAAAAAAAAAAAAAAAAAAAAGGGTTAGTAAGAACATAGAGCATATGCATTTCGTACGTACATAATGGATACACACACAAAGCACATATAAATAGACTTCCTCGTAAGGAGTATAATTATATGTAGTGGACCAAGAGTCCCACCGTATGCCATAGAAATGTGGAGGGAATAAGCAAAAAGTATCAACAATATATTTGATATCGATCAAATTAATGCAAACAATGGATTATTTAGTAAGAAATGTGGAGGGAATAAGCAAAAAATATCAACAATATATTTGATATCGATCAAATTAATGCAAACAATGGATTATTTAGTAAGTGATTGTACACAATGTAAGTATTTTTCTTTCCAAAAAGTATCAAATAAGTCACTCTTGTGCTTATTGCTTTTGTGCCATTGAATTATTAAACTTAAAAATTAAAGTGTGTAATCGAATCATCAAACAAGCAAAATATGTGCAATTGAAACATTTTTATAATTTCTTTTAATGCAATTTGAGTTAAAAATATTTTGATCTTTACTCCCAACTAGTCTGATAGAGGAAAAATAACTTTTAGTACATACCATGTAAATAATATGATCAGATTTTATAGTGAAAAATTGAAAAATGTCTCAATTGCACATATTTTACTTGTTTGATGTTTCGATTGCACACTTTTTAAGTTCAGTGACCTAATTAAATGGTTGTGGTTCAAGTAAATGGTTAAGTCAATAAGTAATTTAGTCAGTTAGGCTACTAAGCAAAACCGTCATCCCAAAGCTCCTGTAAACATAATACACTACATCTAATATTCAGGTAAGAAGTAATAAACAAAAACAACTAACTTTATTATTCCAGACGCAATTTGATGATATCAGTTATGACGAGGAATATTCAGATAATCTTAAAGTTTCTCCGATTACAAAGTTAGGTTACTTGTATTTAAGTTTTATTAAATTTATCATGTTAGTATATATTTATATTTAACATACAAATCATGGTATTATTAATGTTAGAATAATATTAGACCATCACAACATGTCAACATCAACTAGAATTTACATCTTTACTTGTAATAATGTTACAACTTATAACACATCCTATGGAAACATATATACACATTTTGAGTAGCATTAATACGGATCGGAGTCATCAATGGCATCGTTTATTGTCGTCCGTACGATGAGGATGGAAACACGAGAACAGAGTCCGCATTGCATTCCTCGCCACATGGCCCCTCTTCGGAATCAAACGCAGCCGCCGCCGCGGTTTGGTGGCGGCGCCGCCACTCCTCGGCTGCCGGAAGCCTCCAATTCCGCCGTGCTCGGTAGTAGCAACCGTCATTTTTGTAGTAATTTATATCTGGAAGTAGAAATGGTGGAATAAAGTATAATTGATCGAATTGTTGATGAGATATATATGATTAGAAGCTTTGGGGTTGAAGTATATATATATATTATATACATAAAGGCGCCTAACATAACCGAGTAAAGAATAAGCGTCTCAGTGTTCGTATTCTATTTTCCATTAATGGTTCCAGATTTTGAACAAGTCCATGAAGAAGGGGTCCGTCATGATCACGTACCTGCGTCTCCATGCAAGTGAATGGTGGACTTCCTTCTACATCTCGATCTCCTGCTGCTTATCGATCCGCGGCTATAGTGTAGGGATTATGTTCAAAATGAGCAGATTTCTTGTGCGTATCGGTATTTAATCATGTCTACTAAATCATTGAATTACCGTGATTTATATCCTCCCAAATGTTCTGTTAGATTGGAGTGTGAAAGGTCATTGGGATTGAGAATTCAACTTTTTTGGAGGAGAAGAAAACAAATTTTAGATGAATCGTGTACTGCTATACTCTTAAAGTTTTGCACAGGTTAAAATAATTTCTAGAGTTAATACCCAAAATAGTCCCTCAACTATGTCGTAATTACCAATTTGGTCCTCGACTATCATTCTTACCCAATTAAGTCCTCAACTATACAATTTTTATCCAATTTAGTCCTTTGTCAATTTGACTGTTTGTTGACTGTCAAAAGTGGAAATAAAGTTGTAATTTTACAAGTTTTCTCCTTCCTCCTCATTTAGCAGCGCCAAACCATGTAGCAATAAGCTCGGGTTGGGTTCTAAACCTGTCAGTGTCGAAGTAGTGGTTATGCATCGGATAGCCCATGAATTTGATTTCCAACGATTTTTTGACGATCGAAATCTGATCGGAGTGTATTGCTGCATGGTTTGGCGCTGCTAAATGGAGAGGAATGAGAAACTTGTAAAATTATAATTTTATCCCGAGTTTTGACAGTCAACAAACAGTCAAATTAATACAGAGGACTAAATTGGGTAAGAATTGTATAGTTGAGGACTAAATTGGGTAAGAATTGTATAGTTGAGGACTTAATTGAGTAAAAGTTACATAGTTGAGGACTTAATTGGTTAAGAATGGTAGTTGAGGACCAAATTGGTAATTATGGCATAGTCGAGGGACCATTTTGGGTATTAACTCTAATTTCTATAAGTGATTTTTGATTGTGTCAAAAATATATTGTATATAATCACGTGGCTAATCCTTAAAAAAAAAGGTAAAATTTGTGTGAGACCGTGTCATGAATTTTTGTGTGTGAGATGAGTTAAGTCAAGATAAAAATGTCATACTAATAAGAAATAAAATGTTTGTTATTTATAGGATCTGTGTGACTCAAAAAATAAAGATCATGTGTGATAAATTAAATTGGAAAAATGACATTTTTTTCTCTTATTTATACTAATGAGTTGTTTGCTTATAACACATTTTCTCCCTGTATTATTTATGTAACCACTTTATCCCTCAATTGTTTTTAAAGTGATTATTTCTTCCCCTCTCTATTAAATAAATGTTTGAGCTGTTAAAAATAGGATAAAAATGACATTTCACTTCTCAATGTATTATATTTATTACAATAGCCACTTGATTCGAAATGTATTATATAAAAATGACATTTCACCTCAATGGATTATACTATCACATTAATATATTAAAGAGTAAATACTCAAAATGATCCCTCAACTATAGCTAAATTCACAAATTGATCCTCGACTTTTAATTTTAACCAATTAAGTCCTTAACTTTACAATTTTAACACGATTTGGTCTTCCACCTATTTGACCGTTTGTTGACCGTGATCTCTGAGAATATATATGTAATTCCATCGCCGTCCGCCCTCATCCGCTGCCGCGACACAGTCTATCGGCCAGCCACAAACCACTGCCCGGCCAGCCGCCCTCATCTACTGCCATGACACACTCCACCGCCTAGCCTTCATCTACTGCCATGACACACTCCACCGCCTAGCCTTCAGCTACTGCCACGACACAATCCACCGCCCAAACACCTCCGCATAATTCATCATTTCCGGCGCTACAACCCAATTTGCAATCTTCATCAGGTCCAACGCCACAAACAACCGTGTCTCGTTGGAGCACGTGGAGGCCTCCAGGATGACGCTGCACCTGTTCGGAAACACGCCGTCTTCTTCGCTCTGGTACGAACTCAACTACATTGAATTCAAAGGGAGGATGAAGAAAGACGACAGTATTTGGCAGATTGCTTTCGGCAGTGAATTCAAATGTAACAGTGCAGTCTGGAAATGCAACTGGAACCTTAAAAAACCGACGATGGACCATGAAATTACATATGTATCCTCAAAAATCACAGTCAGCAAACGGTCAAAAAGACGAAGGACCAAATCGTGTTAAAATTGCAAAGTTAAGGACTTAATTAATTAAAATTAAAAGTCGAGGACCAATTTGTGAATTTAGCTATAGTCGAGGTACCATTTTGAGTATTTACTCTATATTAAAATACAATTTACTTTTCAATATTTTCGAGTTTTCATCCCTCGTCCTTTATCGGAAACGAAGGCCTCTGCGGCAGTGCGATTCATAAGCCATGTTGGACTAACGGGCCACCGCCAGCGGTGGAGAATAAGCAGCAGCCGAAGAAAACAGCCGGCGTGGTCGTGTGGATTGTAGCTACTGCATTTGGAATCTCACTAGTACAAAAAAAGCTATCTGAGTCTCCTATAAAACACTTTTCGAGTCACCTATACAGGTGACTCGGATTCCAGAGCCTCTGAAAGTGTTTAGCTTTCCGAGGCACCTGTATAAGGTGTCGCGGAAAGCTAAATAAGCATTTTTTATTTTTTTTAATACAGACTTTCCGAGGCACCTGCTGTGTGACAGGTGCCTCGGAAAGTCAATTAATAATTTATTATTAAATACTTTCCGCGACACCCACGCACAAGTGGGTGTTGCGGAAAGTATTTTTTTAATTAAGTGTATCCGCGACACCTCTTCACAGAGGGTGTCGCGGATACTCTTTGTGAAAAAAAAATAAATAAATCAATAAATAAAAATACAACATTTCTCAAAGCGTAATTAAATTCGGAAAACCAGTAGAAATTCCTAGCCCTACTTCAACTACTATTTGAAAAAACAGAATTGGTTTACTCACTTCAAAATCACATAAGCACAGACTACTAGTGTCCATTAAATCATTAATCTACTAATTAAAATCTGGAACTAATTTTATCATTTATGTACTTCAAACACTGCAACCTTTTAGTACTTGCAGCAAAAACACACATCTATCTGAAATCAAGCCTTGTTTCACTCACTAGAAATCCAACAAGTCTTAAATTATTACAAAACAGATGACATAAAATACAAGAGTGCATTTCAAAATTCAAAATCAAGCTTACCCCACTTCATCTTCTGATCTTGTAACAATCAAGCATGAATCACATAGTTGAAGATTTGCAGCAGATGTTGTAAGGAATGGCACTAGCAATCACAAAATATCAAACATTTTTAGTCGCGTGTATGGCAAAACAATCAAAAACCCCAACATTATTAACTCACCCTTGCAATTCTGACAGACAATGGCTTCCTTTACAGGAGCCGGCCCAATAAAACTCAGAATAGTTGGGACAAAAAACTAATTGTATCATTACTGAAAATTTTGACTTCATTATGATATGATTACTATAGGAAACAAATCTCTAAGCTGTGCACCAGTCAGATTTAACTTCTGATTTTTAATTTGGAGGTCTCATATCTTTTTGACACTTTTTTTAGAATTGGCAGACATCCCTTTTGTTAAATTCAATCATTTGCATCTGTTTTGAATCAAAAGTTTATGAAAATTGTGTAAGACTCCCACTTTTTCAGATTGTTAGAATTCATGCAAGATAGCAACTAAATCTCCCTTTGGGGTACAATGTGTACACAAAGAGAGACACATACATAAGCTCTCATGAAAAGTCAAGCAAATTATGTCTTAAAAATTGCTGGTCATTTCCCAAATATAGAACTGTTCTTTATATAAAAAATTTCTATGCTCAAAGTTCATAAAAACAAGTCCTAATGCATTGTTAAAATCTTCAACAGTTTCCTATTGTTAGCAAAATTGAAAGAAAACATCTTTCGTGAATATAGCCAACCATGAAAATAAAATCAGAGGTTATTTTCAAGACTATATATATATATATATATATATATATATATATATATATTCATGTTAATATATATCACATCAAACAATAAATAAAAACAAAGGTTAATATCTTAAATTTACTTCCAAATGTGTTAATAAAAAAATTAAAAAAAAATTTAAAAAAAAAAATTAAAAAAAAAAAAAACTATATTCATTAGCTTCCTATTAACCAATTTTCTCATGAGTTAAAAACAAGCCTCACTTAAGACTTATTTCTAAGGGAGGTGTATTTCAAAAGCAGAGAGACCTCACAATCATATAAGATTAAGGCTCTTGAATGAAATTTGAGAAGCAATGCGATCTAAGTACAGAATCACAAATCAGAAGATTGGATTCAATGTAGAAATATGCGATCCTTTCATTGAACTACTTACTGTGGTATTCGCAGAAATTTTGAGATCATATTCTCATGATTATCGATGCCCTGAACACAAACTTTGCTCAGACTTCCCAGCCTGACCTCGTATTTATCATTAAGAAGGATACTGCGAGATTGAATATCCCTACAAGGCCAAGATGAAGAAAATGATTAACATTAATGAGAAATCAGAGAGCAACGCAGCCTACCTAGCAGAAGAGAAGAGATGGAATCCGCTGTCATTTCTAACCCACAATTTCCTACACTTTTAACTACTCCGTATTTAATTTCTGCTACCAACAAGCTAACAATCACTTTCATCACAATCACCTTAAATAACACTTGATTGCTCCATCTCTCTATCCCTGTTGTATATACATTATAACCCTGAAATTCAAAACATAAAAATAAGTCAGCTAACCATCTTTCCAATACTTGTTACAGGTATTATCACTGAAAAAATATATTAGGAGTTACCTTCACTTATATGTTTTAACAGCCTGCTAGCATCTTCAATCTTATAACCAATTTCAAGCCAATTGGTGATATGATAGATGTTGCAATATGCAAGAAATAAACAAACCCAATTCTGGAAAAAAATATCTATTCATGTCTGTCTGAACCTCAAAAACGAATACCAGATTCCACAATATCATGTTCAAAACCATTGCTGCCAGTAGATAAAGACTTTCTTCAAGGAATGTACACCAAATAGACAACACCGGGTGACCACCTCCTGAAGCCTCAACAACTTGAGCAACGCAGATGAACTGTCTAATCCTGTGAAGTTGCATATCCAATATCTGTTGAAAAATAGTCCGGATTATGCAATGCGATAAAATGTGCTTCATCCATATCCTTCATCTGCTCTTCATCATACCATGTTCCTGCATTTAACCAGTTTATTATGTGTATTACAGTAGACGTGTACAGGAAAAAAGATTGTACATGTATAAAGCAGTGTCTAGCAATCAGAGAGTGAGATAACATTAATGAGAAAAAAAAAGTTCAAAATAACATGGAGTAGGCACAACAGATTTCTTCCTTTATATTCAAGGCCTAACCTTTTTCAGTATAGAAAACGTTATAGTGATAGTAGTGCATAAGAAATATTATGATACCTGTGAATAAGGGGAGGATAGCATTCATGGTTTAAGTATGACAAAGCTTCTGCAGTCCCAATTGCAATTTTTAATCTTGTTATCCAGTCCAAGGATTGTACATCTTCACCTTCGGAATTTGATACCCTGTACAATAGTGATCCAGTTCCCGGCCTCCGCCTCTTATTTTCCCCAGGAAATGTATACACAAATAGATCTGATGAACTTCAAAAATAAAAAAAATATATATAAATATAAAATAAATTAGGCAAACTTACCGTCAATGTCGCCGGTGGCGAGGCGAAATGCGTCGGCGGCGGCGCTGCTGCTGACGGACGGCGTTCCTGCTGTTGGCGGCGAGGAGGCGCGCGGTTGGCGGCGAGGAGACGACCAGAGGCGGTTGCTGTGGCTGACAGACGGCGGAGGAGCGACGAGCTGGAGCGAATTTGGGGGATTTTCAGATCGATTTGGATTTTCATCAGATCGCGACAAGTTAAGGAAAAATGAAAAAGAAAAATTGACCAGTTATCGGCGGCACCTTCTTGAGAGGGTGCCGCGGATACCATTATTATTATTTTAATAATAAAATATTCGCGGCACCTTCCATAGCGGGTGCCGCGGATTCTCTTATTATTATTTTAATAATATAATATCTGAGGCACCTTTTATAGCGGGTGCCGCGGATACTCTTATTATTATTTTAATAATATAATATCTGAGGCACCTTTACCTGGTTGGTGATACGGAAAGTTTTATCATTTTCTTTCTACAACACCTTCTTTGTAAAGGTGTCTTGGAAAGTATGTCTTGTATTCTCAATTTTGTACTAGTGTCTGCTTGTTTGTACTCATCGTCGGTAGCTGGTGTTTCCACGCGAGTTATAACCTTAGATTTTTCATAAACCGAGACATCAGCCCCTGGAAGTTAACGGCGTTTCAGCGCTTGAATTTCACGGCGGATGATGTGATTGAATGCCTGAGCATGAGCGATCAGGTGATCAGAATGGGATCAGCGGGACCGTGTATAAGGCGGAGATGCCTAGCGGTGAGACTATCGCAGTGAAGAAATTAAACTATGGGGATGCAAAAAGAGACCGTCCGGAAGCGGCGAGGGGTGCTGGCCGAAGTCGATGTTTTGAGCAACTAAGACATAGGAACATTGTAAAGTGAAATGTCATAAAAACAAGCACGGGGGATTTGACCAATAAATAAACAATAGATGAATAGATACTATAATGTAATATAGTCTGTAACTTTAAAAAAAAAAAACAAAAAAAAAAACAAAACAAAACAAAACAAATAATATTTTGATACTATGTTTTAATTTTCTTCTTGTCAAATTAATTGAAATATATCTTCAATTAATTTTAAATTAAAATTAGTTTAGATGATGTTAAAATCTTTAAATATTACTTTTTAAACCATTATTGATAGTGATACAAAATATTGTAGTGTTATACCAAAATATATTATTATCTTATTATCTGACTTTTAAGTTTGTAATAGGAACAGATAAATAAATTTGTTCTATTAATTAATAAAATGATTGTAAACTACTCTCTGTTATAAACATATTTAGTAGACATAATTTGTAACGGATGCTTTGATTGCTCATTATGTATATTTATATCATTTGTAATGAACACACCTTATATCATGGTGTGGAGATGAATGAAAAGATTGGCCTTCCCTCTCCATTCTTTATTTCATTCTTCTCCTTACTTGCGTTTATATTATTTTATTCAACACGTTATCAGCACGATCCCACAGATTATTATGCCCCCAATCCAAAACATCCACGCAGTAAATTTAGCAAGGCAATTCTACCAAGTAAATTTATAAGATATATATGATAAAAATTCATATTAGTATTAATAGTTTTTTTAAGGAATAAGGTTCAAATTGGCCACTGAACGAAACCTGAAAATGCAATTATGCCATTGAACAAAAAAAATAATACAATTAGGCCACTGAACACTCCAAATGTATGCAATTTCACATGATAGCAGGTTACTTGCTTACGTGGCAGCTGAGTTGGCATTTTTAATAAATTTTAACAATAAATTTTTTTAAAAAAAAACAATGGGGTGGCTGGCGGCCACCCAGTCGTTTTATTTTTATTTTTTAATTTAATTTTTTTAAAATCTATTATTAAAAATTATTAAAAAGTCAACTCAGCTGTCACGTAAGAAGGTAACCTGTTAAAAAAAATGATAGTAACATACTATTTGATGAAATTGCATACATTTGGAGTGTTCAATGGCCTAACTGTACGTTTTTAGAGTGCTCAGTAGCTTAATTGCACTTTTTTTTTGTTCAGTGACCTAATTGCATTTTTAGGTTACGTTTAGTGGCCAATTTGAACTTTATTCCTTTTTTAGAAAACTAATAAGAAAGTAACACATGAGTTATACTATCATTCAAAGAAAATAGGTTTTATCCGAGATTGCAAAGGTGATTGGAAGCAGGGATTTGTGTTTAACATAAGCACTTGTACCCCGTTCGAAGCGGAGGCATGGACACTCCTAAAAGGAATCCAGGTAGCCATTCATATGGGTTGCAAGAAGATTGCTCTCGAATTTGATTCGACCATGCTGGTAAATTACATGCTTAGCTCCAGAAGGCCATCAACGATTGCACATAATGTCCTCAAAGGTTGCAAGGAGCTGCGAAGATTTGAAGCATGGGAACTCACTGCTATAGCTCGTGAACAAAACCAAACAGCTGACAGATTAGCTAAGCTTGCCTGTAATTACCCAAAGGGCATCCATGTTTTAGATAACCCCCCTGTGTCGATGATGAGCATTATAGAAGATGACACTGCTGGGTTGCCTGCTTGGCGTCATATTTGTAACACAAACTAACTCTTGTTGTTCTTTTTGGGTTACCCCCTTCCATGATATATATATATATATATGTATATATATATATATATATATATATATATATATATATAATAGGTTTAGAAATTATTTTTTTTCTCCCAAATATGACTACTGAACCAATTAGCTAAATTCATGCCGCCTTAAAAAATTATATTTAATATGAAAGTGACATACCATCATTAATGTCAACCACCCAAAATGGGTTTTAGAAACTCTCGGTGGAGTTAGCTTGGCGTTATTAATTTACTAATGAACTAGTATTTGCGCTCGTGCGTTGCACGGATTGAATTTGTTATAATATTTTTAAAATATTTAGATCGATATACAATTGTATAAATTATAACATCGAATATTATATAATATAATTGAAGAATTGAGTTGCATCGATTATGTTTTCTGATGTTACCAATGCTTGAATTTGAGTAAATAATTGCCCAATTAATAGCTAACGTGTAGATATACGCATTAAGTTTTGCAACTTTAGAGATTTTATATATCAGTATTTAGAATTTGTATTAATTGGGCAAATTAGCTCATTGTCTACCAACTCAGTTATAGAAATTATTTATACGGAAGATATATTTTCTATGTAGATATATATAAATTTTGTCATTTTTGTATATAAAAAAAATATAATATCAATGGCTTGAATTATACATTATTAAAAATCTCTTTGTAGACGACATTGGTAGTAGTAACGGAATTTTATCCATCCTCGTCTAGAGTTAAAACCATCAGACCATCAGGCTGGGTGACTCTGGAAAAAACTCACATATAATAAATCGTGATTAAAGACTGGTTTTTTCAGTAAAAACTCAACGTGAGTTAGTATTTGACCTTGACTTTTGTTGATAGTCATGACATATGTGAGCATTAACGTGAATTGTTTCGTTAGAACTTTAAGGGAAATTTTGTATCAGAAGGGTGAAAGACATTTTAATTGAAGATTTTACTTTTATTAATAGTATAGATATAGATTGGTGTAAATAATAATTAATAAATTATTTTCCTTATAAAATTACATAAAATTTCAAATGGATTTTCTCATTTATAGAATTTTAAATGGATTTTCTCATTCATTACGCATAATTTGTTTTCGTTATTCTCACAATTATAATGGTTTAATTATTACCAATTAAATTTTATTAATTTTTTACTAATTAATTAATATTCATATTAATTTGGGCTCGAATGTTTTAAAGGAGGATTTTAATTTTATTAAAGTCATTTCACTAAGAAAACTAAAACTAATCAAAGTAAATCTAATCATGCTATATTTATTTGTAACTGTATATTAATTTCATTTTGAAATCATTGGTTCACATATTTGAATTATTTATTTTTTCTTTAATTATTCTCATTGTAAACATAAATGATATTGCAATAATTAATTTATGATATTTATCAAATTTTATTTTTTTAAAATATAAAATTTTCTCATGTTTAGGGATTAACAAATATTTTAAAATTATTTTTATTAGTAAGTCTTTTTATTTTTAAAACATTTTCCAGCAACTCAAACACTCCCTTAGTCTCTAATAAAGAAACTGAAAAATAAAAGCCATCTAATTGAAATCATTGGTTCACATCTTTGAATTATTTTTTTTCTTTAACTATTATAAACAGAAATTATGATATTTATCAAATTGTATTTTAAAATAATATAACATTTACACATGTTATGAAGGGTTAAAAAATATTTTAAAATTATTTTTTATTAGTATGTATTTTTATTTTAAAATATTTTCCAGTAATGCAAACACTCTCTTAGCTTCCCATAAAAAACTGATAAAGAAAAGTCATTTCATTAAAAAAAAATTAAAACTAATTAAAGTAAATCTAATCATGCTATAATTATTTGTAACTGTATATTAATTTCATTTTGAAATCATTGGTTCACATATTTGAATTTTTTTAATTATTATAATTTATAAACATAAATGATATTATACTAATTAATTTATTAATTTATGATATTTATCAAATTGTATTTTTAAAAAAATATAAGATTTACACATGTTATGAGGGGTTAAAAAATATTTTAAAATTATTTTTTAGTAAGTACTTAAAAAAAAAAAATTCAGCAACTCAAACATACCTTCTTTTTTTTTTTTTTGAAAAACAACTCAAACATACCTTAGTCTTCCAGAAAAAACTGATAAAGAAAAGTCATATCATTAAGGGAATTAAAACTAATTAAAGTAAATCACATGATACTATATTTATTTGTAATTGTATATTAATATCATTTTGAAATCATTGGTTCACATATTTAAATTATTTATTTTTTTCTTATATTATTATAAACATAAATGATATTGTACTAATTAATTTATAATATTTATCAATTTGTATTTTATTTTTAAAATATAATGTTTTACCCGTGCATTGCACGGAAATTTTTTTGTTATTATAAATTTAAAATTAAAATTAAAAAATAAAAAGATATTAAAATATATAATATAATAATATAGTTGGACTTTTAATATTAGGTCAACTATCTATTTTCATAACTTACAAAATTCAAATTCAAATTTTGTATGGTTAATATAATCTTTAATTATGTACATATTTAGATAAATTTATATAAAAATTTCATGTAGTTAAGTT